ATAAATATCTTCTGTAATTGTAACAGTTTCATAATTATAATCTTCTGATACTATATTCTTTTTATCTTATAAATATATAAATATATATTTTATTTTATACATTATTTTTATGTATTATAGTATATTTTTTTTATTTCTTTCTCTAATTCTGTGTACACACACAACATACATTTCGCTTTGCATTTCATGCTTAAATTTTCGTTTTCATACTGCTTTCTTACGTTGTTCCTGTGTTTGTTTCATACTGCTTTCTTATTTTGTTGAATGAGAATAAAATTCCAAAACATATGATAAACATAATATATAATATATATAATATAAATCATTGCAAGAAAATTTCTTCAACCAGGGAAAGGAATTCTTACAATCATTAAATAAAAATTGAGAAGAAAACAAGAAGCACAATGATCAAGTGATATTACATTATCAATGATCAGTTGATATTTGTATCTTATGTATCGAATAAATTTTCAATATCGCTCGAAGATTATTTATGACTTTCGAATTATTTTAAATAAATCAAAGTCGAAACAAACGGAACTTGAATGATTAATTTTCTCAACGGTTCAGTCAAGCTGGTCGAGTCATTCCGCATACGCGCGCTAGTTTACGCGTTTCGTATATTTCCGCTATATTCGCGTTTGATGATCTTAGCTCACGAGCGAGCGAGCGAATGCCTCGCTCACCAATAAAGGAGAGCGTTCGAGAGTTTACGATGCGGCTCGATTCAATAAACGTGAGGCGAAACGACTCGGGAAAATATTTGAAACTCTGTTGTACCGCCGCGTGGACGATATTTACACGGAAGGCTATGGGAGATAAGCAAGACTCGCTGTCCAAACTACGAAGATTAACGAGTCTATGAATCTCGATTCTTTCCCGTCTCAAGTTCCTCATTTCTAATAGAAAACAATCGGTTCTTTTGTCAGAAGACACGTGTAAAAAAAAAAAATAGACGTTCATTAAATGTATTTAATCTTTCTTAAAATCACTCGAGATTTGTGAACGTTACGCACTGCTGAAAACGAGGTTTATTATACACCATAACACATAACACGAAGTTCCTAAAATATGAAAATACTTGAGATATACGTTTACGCTGCCCAGAACAGTCGTGGTCTTTCCTGAAAGTCACTTTGACCGCGATCCCTACAAGGAAGCTCGTTCGGCGGCCTGTAAAAGCGCCCGGTAGAGGACCAAGAATATCGCCGCTGGACCCGCAGCATCCCGTGGACTCCGCTCCGTCGAATCGTGCCAAGCGCACGCTCGATGGCTCGAGATAGCTTCACTCGGGAATGCGCGCTATCGCTATCGCGAGGCGCGGTTAAAATCGGCGTTCTTCTCTCTGCTCTCGCTAGTGCCATGAGACGTCGTTCAACGCCGGTCGGAGCATTGGCGCCGTGAGTATAATCAGGAGCCGGAACGGTGACGATGAACGAGAACACGGTATCCTCGATTCCGCCTCGGTGCCAAATCGCCCGTCGCTCTATCGAGGTGCCTCGGCACATCTCGCGCCAGATCATCGCCGATGGCGATGATCGACGCGACGACGTCTCCGAATGAGAGATGGCCGGTCGGTGGACCAGCGCCGGTTTTGTCACACGATCGAGAAGCAAAGTCGATGAATTTTGCAAAAGTGAAGTGATGAATTTTGAAAAAAGGATTTTATTGCAGCGACAATTATCGCTGTGAGGGCGAAAATAAATTTCTCTGTCGAATTGCCAATTATTCGCAGGAAAATTTGTTCTATTTGTAAAATAAAAGAACTTGCTCGTTAAAAATAAATTGAAAATCGTTGAAAAATAAATTTGTCACTATACTGGTCCATCTTTAGCAAACATGTCACTATCTTAACAATAAAATAAAAATCGATTGCAAATTCAGCAATTAAAATCAGCATTTTTTTCTATAACATAAATAAAAAAAATTTGTTGATCGATATATCCATGTCTTGTCGGCAACTTGTTCTCCCAATATGAAAATCGAAGAAGAACATGATTGGTCGAGGACGCATGCAGTATCAAGTGCAAGTTCACCGGAACCACGATGCACCGATTCCTTTACCTCCTGACGCTTCTCCGCGTCTTTTTCAGAATGCACCAGACCGGAAATTAAGTTGGCTGCGTGGCTCAATATCGGCCAATTGACGTTATTAATCGGCCGTCGCGACGGCAAACATTGACGCGTTTCCTTCTTCGAGGGAGAGACTCTTGGCATCCGTCGCCTACATTGTTTTTCCTATTTAATTCTCGCATAGTTTTTACCATCTAGCCCTCACATAGTTTTTCCCATCTAATTCCCACATACTTTTTCCAATCTAAGCTTCATCTAGTTTTTCCCATGTAGCCTCCATATAGTTTTTCCATTTAGCACCCACATAGTTTTTCCCATATTGCCCCCATCTAGTTTTCCCATCTAGCCCCCACATAGTTTTTCCCATCTTAATCTCCACACAGTTTTTCCCATATAGCCTACGTTCCGCCGCTACAATAATTACAAGTTATGTTGTGTAATTTGCGGTATATTCGCTAATGCAGCCGACGCCGTGGTCTAATTTCGGCGAAGATACTTGGACCGGACTCGCGAGACTGAGGTAATTATAATTAATCCCGTCGGTGGATGAGGACTCAATGAATACGACTGTGCTGGTGAATTTCGTTGGCATTCGAAAATGGCATAGTGACAAGATAAATCACATCGCCAGATTACATTGTATTACATTACATGCATAGAAAGAACAATGTTGCACTGGCAAATCTAAAAATTTGGCCAGATACAGATTCTGAAAATAATTTTGTTCGGCCTTCAAAATTATTAAGTACGATGTACAAATTTGTTCCTAGAAAATAAAACATTTTTGCAATATTATTATCACGTTTAGAAATCTTACATGATAATTTTAATGATCCGACAAAATTATTTTAAGATCTATATCTGATCTGAAATTTTTAGATTTGTCAGCAAAACTGTTTTTTTCGTATATAAAATTGTTGCCGTTCAAAATTATATCATCATCAATTATCGGTATTGTTGACTTGTATGGTTTCCAATATCTAGCCAAATTAATTTAACTGAGGTAAATTAATTTAATAACAGTAATTCTGTTTATATCTGATTAAACAGTTCTAATGATTTGAACTATTGAAGTATTATTAGCATATTGTTAATGCTTAATTGATATCTTCAGATTAATAACTACCATGTATAATTATTTCTTTAAGAATCTTTTCTCTTGCCATTTTTTTGCACATGTAACCAAGTTTTCAATTCCTCGAGAAAATATGTTTACATTCCAACGGTTCCACCATATGGACCAGCAGATATCAATTTACAAGCCCTATTATCATTTATCTCCCTCGAGGCTCTTATAATCAATATTTATTTTTAAATTGAGTTATCGAGTTTTTAATAGTGTACATAGTATTATTTTATCAAGTTTTCATCTGTTTCGAACAATATTATAATCCGCGGTACGGCGTGTCTGGCTTTCAAACACAAAGAAGAGAAAGAAGAAGAAGAAGAAGAGGAAGAGGAAGAAAGGTTACGTAAGGGAATAAGTCCGTTCGGCCGGGTTCTTCATTCCAGATCCTATAGAACATCCTCTTCATCATCGCTTTTCCTCGTCGCACCTTCTTCGTCGTCGCACACTATGCGCCGCCATACCACCTTAGTCCTCCATCGCCTCCTCGCCTCCTCGCCGCAATGGCTTGCTTGCTTCTGGGGCTGACAGCAGCTATTTTCGTTTCCCAGCGACAATATAGTAACTACGGCTTATGTCGCTCTTACTATAAGCTGAGCTTCGGTCTACCTTTCCTCGGCTCTTTTTCCTTCGACGGTCTCTGCTTCTTATTTATGGAATCCCTTACTTCTTGTCAAATTATTTCTTTATCGTCTTATCTGAATTATCCCTTTGTCGATAGTGAAGTGCAAAATGCCGGTTACAATAATACCGAATAATTTCGCGTTATTGTAGATATGAGATTTCACTTTATGAAATGCGATCGTAACTTTAAGATGAATTTAACACAGAAATAATAAAAAAAATTCAAGCAAACGTTTGCTTCTGACCCAGTTGCAAGAGACTCTTCGTGATTCAATAATTCTTATTGAGCTAAGTCGAGCTGACATAAGCAGAAGAAAATGTCGGAAAGCAGAAACGGGAATATATTCGAAATGTCGTTTAGCCTAGTTTCTCTTCTGAGCGCCTTCGTGTTTCTAGTTTCTTAAATGTATATTTAAACATATATTTAAGTTAATTAAATTATATTAATTTAATTATATTAAATTATATTAAATTAATTTTATCGATAAAGATATACGTTAACTCAATAAAATAAACTTATTTCTGTGATTGATACACTTCAAAACTTTAATTCTTACGTTTGATTTATCAAATCTTTGATTTATCAAAAATTTTCAATGAAAATATAGAAAGAATGATTTCTGCTGAAGCATCTAAAGAATTTGACTAGATACAAATCTGAAAATAATTTTGTTGAGCCATCGAAATAATAATGCTTAAACATAATTTTTTTGCAAAAATTTTTTATTCTTTAGCATTTAAATTTTAACGTAAATATTTTAATAATGCATAACAAACTTATTTAGATCTGTATTTGGTCAAATTTTTAAATATATCAACAACATTGTTTTTTCTAAAAGAATATGTTTTCATTTCTTCGTGTATTTCTTTTTATTCTTATTTCTATTTTCATTTATCAATTTCTTTACAGTTTATTTTTGCGTTTGTAACCTAAATTTATACTGGTATATTGATATTCTTCGCATGATTATGAGTGGAAAAAATAATTTTATTAAAGCAATGAAAAATTAATCAGATATAGATCTGAAAATAATTTTATTGGACTATTAAAATAATTATTAGAACGTTCTGACGACTGGCTAAATTTTTAGATACTTTAGTATCATTCTTTCCATGCAGTTACTGAAGAAAATACAAAAACTGAAACGCAAATGTCTGAAATTACTTTCATGCTCATTTTTAAAATGCTTCAAATTCATTTTTATTTAGTAACTCCCAATCCTTGCGATCATGATACATTCAGTCTGGAGGAATCTAAAGGACTAACAATTGATGGCAATTGACGATGATCAAACGCGATAATAATAATCGTAATTTTGCAATTCTTGTGTGAGTTATTCTTCTTCATCAATGTCGTTCCGGTTTCGCTGCTGGATGCAACTAGGTATTTGCGCGTTGCTAGATATGAGCGGTCGCCTTATTCGTGAATACATCTTGCGCGTTCCTGCAACGCGTATATTTGCGTATGTACTATTAATACACACACACACACACACACACACACACACACACACACACACACACACACACACACACATATCGTCGACTACGCGCGAATGACGTCAAATAATACAGTCATCGTCGAGAGATGCAATTTCCGCGACCCTCTTTTTCTTCACCTTCTCACGTTGCGCGTCCTCCGTCCTGTCTTTCCTTCGCTGCCTTCATTCCGATGAAGTAAAGAAGATGATGATGATTCATGATCTTCCTCTTCCGTTCTCTTCGACGTCGATATACAGATATCACTGCAAATACAGTCATCAAAGATCTATTTACTTACTTTCATATTTTGATGCGTTCATATTTTGATATTATTTTGATATATTTGGCGTGCGACTTTTCTTCATACATACATAAAAAAATTAAATTTCCCAATAATAGTTTTCCTAATATAAGATAAGAATTTAATGCCGCTACAAATTTTTTTAAATATTTCGTTGCTTTTCAACACAACATTTTCTTTTCTCATTCTCGTTACTTTATTTAACAAAGCTCCTTTTTTTAACAAAGACGTTAAATAAAAGAAATGATTATCATATTGAATAAATTAAATATTCAAAATATTTTGTTTTGAGATATTATGAATCATATTATTTATTGTAAGTAGATTACTTGAAATCAATTTTTACAATTTTTTTCTTGAAAAAAGAATTTAATGTCAATATTAAGTATTAGTAGGGAGAAAGACCCTATCCAGACAACTTGCATAGTAGCATAACGTATAAGGAAAATTATCCAATCTGTGTGTCTTTATGATAGAAATGCGATTGGATAATTTTCTTTATGCATATGGTTATGGTGCTATGCAAGTTTGTTTGGATAGGTCCTGAGAGTGACCATCCCGGTCTTTTTCGTGACACCATCGAAACCCCCGAACAGTAGCGCCTACAAGTTTCATTTTAACATTCTTGGAATTAAATAGCCACTTTCCTTTCCTGACACTGCCGGTAAAATACCATTCTAGCGCATATTCGTGCTACTTCCATAATTCAAAAGGATACTTAAAGAGTCAAAAGTATACTTATATAATTACACAACTATTTACATTGTAATATCGTGTAATTCTTTTATCGTATAAAGAATAAAATTTAATAAACATTAACATTAGTATACATTTATCAACATGTTTGTATTCTTATGTACATATACACATACAATTAATATTATAACATCTCAGAGATACAAACATTATACGAATATCAATTTTGATCGCAATAATATGCTAGGAATCTTTTCGTATTTCGCGGATCAGCACGAACACACATCAAAATGATATTTTATCGGCAGTGTCAGAAAATAGAAGTGGTTACTTAATTCCAACTATGCTAAAATGGAAGTCGAGGGTGCTAGTGTACGGGGGTTTCAATGATCCTACGAAAAAGGCCGGGGATGGCCGCTCTCAGACTTCTCTTTCTCTCCAATGTTAGTCCTCTAGTTCGTCTTGTTCTGTTTATTGTCGTATCTATCGACCATAACCTGCAAATTGCGCCGAACCGAACTCGCCATACTCGAACACTTCGCAATTCGTACGGGAACGACGGTGTCCTCGACGGTACTTCGGTTTCGGCCACGTGAATGTCATGTCAACGCGTTTTTGGAGCTTCATTGTCGTGGAAATATGTCCGAGCGATGGTCGAAAGCGAACTGGATTAGCCAGAACATAGGTTGAGGGATTCAGGGAGCCGCTGTCTCAATTTCGATACGCGATGGATGTAGAGAAAATCGCGATGTTCGCCGGCGTGGGTTTCGCCATCGCTGTTGGTGTCTTTGTCCTATGGGGCCCTTCGCCCAAGCCACGGAAAAAAGGTGAATCGGAATTACGTTTTCAAATGAGATCTCTCATGTTCATTTCTACCAATGCAGATTGACTTAACTATCGGTTTTAACTTATTTTAATCTTTTTTTCTAATTTCTATCAAAAAGATAAATGTAGATTAACGTTTCAATCTACATTTATCTTTTTTAATTCATAAAACTAAAAAATAAAAAGTAAGTTAAATCAATCTTGAGATTAAAGTTAATTGATAGAAATAAATGAGAATTAGAAAAAGATAGAATAAATTAAACAAAAATTAAAATTAATAGATGTTAATGGATATTAATAATATTTTTCTATCAATTTTGCTTTTTTATTTTTATAATGAAACTATCAGGAATTATTGAAAATGAAGATAGCAATGAATTATCAACAAGGATTATTTATGTAATTCCTTTGTAGGTTATGTTTATTTAATTATTTTATCTAAAATATAAAACTGTTGTCCTTTTTAGTTTTATTTACTTGATTATCTAATCTTTCTATTAGTTATATACTGAGTTTTAATTATAAATTGTAAATGCTTGATTCTAATAAAACCAGATTTTATTTTATTACCTTCCTTCACAGGTCAAGTTATTGGGATCAACAATTTGGGATATACATGTTTCCTGAATTCTCTTTTGCAAGCCCTAGCTGCTTGCCCTACATTTGTTTTCTGGCTTCAAAGACAACAGGAGAAGAAAGATAGAAATTTTGCCGACACACTGTTTACTGTTCTCAAAAGTATGGTTTTAATCTGTTGTTATTCTCTCTTAACATTTTAACACTTTTGAATTGAAAGTTATAGAATTCAGTCCTTGAACATTATACATAAAATTAATTCAAGTTAAGTTTCTTTAGTCTTTTACTATTTTCTTTTTATTATATAATCAAAAACTTTAATCTAATAATATTTTTATATCATACATTTTTAATTTATTTTCTGTTTTATTTCTGTATTCTCTATTGAGCTTTTGTATCTTTTTTACATTTTAATCTATGTCTGACAGAAATCAATGGTTTCGCGGATGATTTATACGGCAATGTGACGCCTGTTGAAATCATCTCCTCCATTGGCTCATTGTGGAATTTTGGTCCCGGTCATCAAGATGCTCATGAGTTATTCCATGTGGTTCTTAGTGCATTAGAAGTTGAAATGCAACCTGTGAATAGAGTATATAATATTTTGATACTACGTAGAATAGATAATCTTAATAAAACCTTGTAAAAACAAGAAATAAATATTTTTTGTCTTCAAAAATATTTATAGCTAATTGAAAAATTTATTTGCTATTTCAGAAAGGTTGTTTGTCCGATGCACTGCCACCAAGTCCAATTATTGAATCAGATATGAGAGGAATGGGTGATAGTCTAAATCTCAGAAGCGCCTCCTGCAATGACATTGCATCAGTAAAGAACAATTCCGATAACCCAAAAGGTTTTGACAAGAATTGCAACAATCAGATGATGACCTCGACTTCGTCCATATCCAGTATGTCCCCGAGTTCATGCAAGCCCGGTATGATCCTCGCTAGATCATCAGAACTATTGTTGCAAAGCATTCAAAGCAATGGCGACTGTAAAAATCTCTTCAGATCGTGGAAATCTTTGTGCACTATGCCATTTACCAACATTCCCTCAGTCTCAGTGGAGACTCATCCATTCTTAGGCTTGATCACTAGCCAAATTCAATGCAGTGATTGTTTCTGGAAGGTATTGTCGCGAAGAAAAGCAAATTTTTCGTTACTAATTTTTATCTTCTTTTGTGCATTATTTTCTTCAGATATTATCTCAATTCAAACATTTACAAATCTCTTAAATCAAATGTTTATCATTAGGTACTATTCTTTTTTTGCTTCCTATCAAAGTACTTAATGTTTCTGATAGTGAATGATAATTTTAAATTTTAATCTTAATAATGCAAGCTTCTAATTCTTTTCTTTTTTTATAGTCCTCAGTGCGTTATGATAAGCTTGAAACCTTGTCGTTACCATTACCACCGCTCACTTCGCCATTTACACAATATCATACTTTGGAGTTACTGCTATCGCATTTTGTGGACAGTGAAATCGTGCGTGACGTGCAATGTGATGGATGCTCGTCGCGTTGTACCGCCATCAAAACTCTCACTCTCGGCAAACTGCCTAAGTGTTTATGTTTGCATATCCCAAGAACCACATGGAGCTCTTCGGGCATATTAATTAAAAGGGACGATCAAATCACGTTTCCTGAATTTCTGGTGCTAGATCCTTATACTTATACGGAAACGAAAAAGAGAAGCGCGCAGGTGACTTATAAAACTTAGAAAATTTAAAGTAAAAATTTCTTGTAAATAAAAAAGTTCATGGAAATAATTTACATTCCTAAATACAAATAAATACAAATAAATTTATGATCAATTATATAGAACTAATCGAATAATTACATTGAAAATCTTTATTTACAGGGTGACGCACAATTTCTTAATTTTATGGCAATACAGGGTAAACATAATTACCGATTGTGCGCGGTAATTGAGCACCGCGGGCCAGTCGATTCCGGCCATTTTGTTTGCTTCAGACGCGGAAATAAAGCAGATCAATGGCTGTATACGTCCGATGTCATTGTTGAGAGCGTATCACTGACGCAAGTGCTGCTTGCCAGTCCATACCTACTCTTCTATGAGCGCATCAACAGCGCTTGTCCTAGCTAGGAATAAATTTTCAAAGTGATAGGCAATCCATAGGAATAATGAAATGATGCGATGATTAACCAATTCGCTCTTTTTAGCCACGCTTTCTCTACATACTTTTAACATTTAAAGCGAAGCGATTGCCTAGCAACAAAAATTATGCGGAAGAATAAAATCGCAAACAAATTGAAATTGTAAACAAGTAGAAAGTGCAGCTAGAAAGAACGAGGAATTTATGAAATGCGAGAGACTGTCGAATTTTCCATGAGTTCAGTATCGCTCGATGTGCGATAACACTTTATTATAATATATGACTATAGAGCATGTGTCCCTAGGTGATATTTCATAGCGAAATGTACCGAGTATATAATCTGAAATTCAAGAATTTCATTAGTGACGAATGCGTCAATAATTGTCATTATTAGATGCTGACAAATCTGCCGAAATAGTTTTGTGAAGAAAGAAAAACTCTTGCTTCTACAATACATAATAATAGTAATAGATTTCTACTTCTGAAAAAATGGTCAATTCTTACAAATTATTTAATTAGTTTACAGTCATATCTTTCTTTTAACGAAGACTCGAATCGTGCCAATAACAAATTCTGCGAATTAAATTTATTGAAAGGCATGTAAGCGAGATGTATATTTTTATTACATTTATATTTGGAACTTTTTAAGTTCCTACAATATATTGTGCAATTGGTAAAAATATTGCTATTATCAAAGACTGCAAATTTGTTAATTTGTATATATTAAAGTCTTTCTTTCTATAATTGGCATAAAAAGGAATATGCGAATTATCAGAATAAATTTACTTTAAGAATATTATAGATACGTAAATATGTAATTTAAAATCTTACGAAAAATATATTAAAATAGAACAAAATTTAGAATGTGTTATTATTGAAAATTATTGACAAAGCCATCCCAGCCCTTTTCATGGTATTGTTAAACTTTTTATATACCATCGCTAGTACATTCATTTGTTAATTTGGTACTATATAATTACGTCCATTTTCCGATAAAATTGCATTCTGATGTATATCTGTATTGCATCTACAATTTAATTAATCAAAAATATGTTTATATTTAATTATACACCTTCGCATAATTTTTTTTTGTTGTACTTTACGTGGAATTCGAAATATACAATTGCAGCTTATATTTTAACATACTGCCAGTATTAAAAATGTGTATTTTATATAACATATGTGTTCCATATAACTTATTTCAAATTTTGCGGACTTTTCTATCACGGTGCGAGCTGACATTACAATTTCCTAACCTAAATAGTCGTCAACTTTAACAATAATCTCGCTTCGCTGAGACAGACATTTTTCTTTTCAAACCTTCATGTAATCGTTAAATTTATTAAAAAGCATGGCGTTATGTCAATTGAAATATTTATAAATTCATAAATCTGAAAAGTTTTTTTTTTTTCTCTTTTCCTCCGGTTGGAGGATGTCGGATTAATTCCGACTATGTGTCTTCAACCCTAGGGTTATATAACACAGGTTTATCTAAATCCTTTATAAGTTTCTCTGTATTCTGTGATATTCTAGTTCAACTTTCTCTTTATCCACGTTTAGCTTTCTCTTTATCCTTAACAAATTGCATGACGCAACACAAAAATTCATGTGAGGACAAAAGACGTCCCACTCACTCGATGGCTAAAGACCAACTTATCTGAAAAGTTTATCTCTTAGAGGTTAGAGTAGTGAATTGTTGGAAAACTTTCTCGTTCCTTAAAAGAAAAGACTACGCAACTATTTAATTTGTATTGTACGTAAATAATAATATAAGGTATGTGTAAAATATATTAAAAAGAGTTGTATACAATTATATGAGATATTAAATGTTATCACTACTGTCTCGTATAAAATTAGTATTTTTCATTATAACTTTATTTGTGTGTGAGATTTTTGGCCCAACTAAGGCACAATATTTTGACTTACCTAAATAATTTAAAAGGAGGTTCGAAATAAAAAAAAGAATGTATGTACATTATATGTACATTATATTATACATTTTGTTTATATAATAATAATTATTATTATTAACTATCACTTAATAAGAATATTTTATTTTCTTATAAACAGCTTTGAGTCTTGTTTCTCATTGAAATTATCATAAAAAACATGACTGCCCCAATCAGTACTGCAATGGATAGCTTGAGTGCTGCGCTCAAGTCTAATATTATCCCCAATCAGGAATACTTGCTACAGGGATCTGTATTAGATAGTTCTGTAGAAGTATTACTACATAGGCTTCGTGGTTTGTGCGACAATGTAGACCATGGACCAGAAGGATTCTATGATCATGAAATGTGTTTTAGTATCCGCAGGTACTGTCATTTTTTCTATTTTGAATCTGTTTCAATAGATGTCTTTATAAATTTAATTTCCAAAGTTTGATAAATATATATTGAGAAATTTTCTAATATCTATAGCACAAAGAATTGTAAGAGATATATCAAATATATTAAGAATGTTTAATGTTCACTTATATTTTGGATATTACTAGTAGAATATCCTAATAATCAAACCTGATCCTGATAATATCTAATGAATATCCTAAAATATTTATTTGTTTGAATGTTAAGACTTCTAATAGAAATTTTATGAAAATTTTTGAATTAACAAATTAACATCGATGTATGCTTTAAATTATAAAATTTTTTTTTAATTTTTTTAGAGGCTCTCCACAGGAACAACCGCTGTTACTACGAGTACGGCGTACCCTGGATCCTGCTTATGCAGATATGCCATGGCAACTGCGATATATTGGCCAGCCTGAGCTAGGTGATAAATCTCGACCTACAATTGTTCGCAGCAGCATCGATGTTGCTACCAGTAGCACTGTAGTAGAGTTTCTCACCGAGTTAGGTTGCAAATTAGATTTTGAGTATGTCACTCGCGGCTATATGTTTCGCAAAGGCCGGATGAAAATTACTGTATCAAAGATTTTCAAGGTGAATCAAGGTAAAGTGCCAGAGGGCGTGCCTGAAATGATTTCGCAGAGTTATTTGGTGGAACTCAGTGTATTGGCCCCTAGTGGACAGGATGCTATAGCAGAGGACATGAGAATATTCGCAGAACAACTACGACCTTTAGTGCAATTAGAAAAGATAGATTACAAAAGATTGGTCCATTAATCATAAGACATTCTTAACTTACAAAGAACTTTTATATAATCAATTATTGTATAGAGTATTTTAAATGTGTATTTTAAATTATAATGTGTCAAAAAATTAATTTAAAATAATATCTAATTCGCAAAAAAATTTAGAATATTGTTTTAATAATCATATTTTGATATTTATTATAATCTAATATAGCATTTAGATTTATCTTTAAATCCTCCTCAATTTCACTTATTAAGAACTTTCCGTGTTTATTTGTTAAGATTCCGCAAAAGTTAGAAAGTATTTTTTCTAAAATTTGTAATAAATATATAATATTAAAATATAAAATTGATGAAAACATTGATTGTATGATTATTATTAAAAAATATATTTTTTTATATATTTAGTTAAAGATATTAATATATATTTATTTGATCTTCAAGTCCTTCCCGATTACTTTCCCCTATTCGATTCATCTTTTCTGTACTCTTTTTCTGGTCAAGCGATTTGGTCATTCTGTAATAATAGTAAATTATATTATTTGTACAAACGTTGTGTCCCAGTAAACGAAAATAAATTAAAATGGACTGAAGAGAATTCATTTCAATGTTCGCAAATACGTATTTCTGAAAAGCTGAACCCATTTCAATGTCTAGGCAAAATATGCATGCTCTTTATTTGTGAATTGTAACGCTACAATCCATTTCCGGCATATAATCTCAAAACTCTTTTGAAAATATAAAAAGAAAAAAAACATAAAATTTTGCTACAATAGATATTAAAATCTGATATTAGTCAATTAAGATAACACTTAATCTTATCCAGATTTGATCATTTATTTAAAAATACTATCGACGTTAATTGCATATTTGACTTTAGAGTACCAAAATAGCGGAAATTACAAAATCGGGTTAGTCAGGAATCACAGAGGGCAGCTTAGGTATGTGGATAAAGCTGCGACGCCATTTCGACGTTTCTACGTGTTTCGTAGTGTGACCTGACGGGCGTCCCTCATAAGTTCGCGCTTTTTCGACAGATTTTCCTGATAGGTAAGTAAGAATCAGATTTAATTTATCTTCTTTGTAATCTGAACATGAATTCATGTTTGTCCATTCGTTGGGACTGATAGACCCGCGAATATGTAAAAGATTCGTAAACATTCAGCAGCGGCGACACGGTATTACTATGGTCGAACCAAAATGGCGGGAAAGCCTTGCGAAGAGGCGAAGAGGAAAATGATCTTTTTTCTGGAGAAGCTTTGCGCTTTACTTTATATTACGAGGTTTTGTTATGGATTGTTCAATAGCGGAAGACAGTAGAGAGGAATAAGTAGCGAAGAGTCCACGATCCGCGATCTCGGAAATGACTCGGAGTTATGGGTGGCACCTTCATTTCTTTTTTTTATTTTTGTTTTATTTTTGATTTTTTTTGTTATTTTTATTTTTTTTTTCAGGATTTTTCTGTCACTTGCTAATTACGAATATTTATGTAGCATGCATAGAGCAATATAGATTATCACTTTGACTATCGCTGCTGAATCATCTTAGTTATAATTATTAATGAATGTGTCAATGAATAGATATTAGGATCGATAATGGAGTCGAATTAGGTTCTGCGCACAATGTAGGAACAGGAAAAATTGGAAATAAAAATTCGGAATAAAGATCAAACGTAACGCACAAAATGGATATGGATATGGATATGGATATGGATACCAATAATATGGATAAGTATAAAATATAATCAGATCTTATAT